ACTTTTTTCTATGCACTCTCATTATTCCAATGTTGTCTGTGAGAAAGTCTGCTTCTTGGTTCCTACCTTGCCCCTCTCCCTAGCGGCACCTTGAAGAACTTAAACACTTGCATAAGCAGAAACTCGTATGGAAGACCATGATTACCATCCTTGAAGGTTGCTACTTTTTGCATGTGTTCGATCATAATAGCAGGCAAGCTGACGGGAGTAAAGCTATCCAGTTGCTCCATCAAAAACATGTCCGACTTAGAGGTCACCGACTTTCTCTCAGCACGAGGCAATAGAACTTTGTTTACCAATTCGAACAGCAACGGATAAACAGGGAGTAATACCTTCTTGTGGATCTGGTCCCCCTTTTGGTTCACATTGTCCTTTACAACATCATTCCGAAAATTATACTGACACGCATCCTTCACACTAGACACTCCAACTGTAGGGACCTTAAGAATATCCCCAAGCATACTTACATCGAACACGATATCCACTCCATTTACCAAAGCACAAATACGGTCGGTATCAACAGGATAGAGGCTGGCGAAGAAGCTTTGAACCTCATCCTCATACACCTTAGGTGCATCCATTGGGAATAGATGCCCCCATCGTTGAAACTCAACCATCTCAAGGACTTGTCGCATACCAGCCATATCAGAGATTGCTGGGTCAAAAGTACGACCCAACAGAACCTTTTGGTGCCTTAGGCGGTTTGAAGCAGAACTACTTTCACACCTCAGCTTTTTCACAGAACCAGGTTCCTTACCAGCTTCAGACTTTCGTTTGCCAGACTTCTCACCACTTGATTTTTCTTTACTAGACTGGACTAACACATCCTCATCAGAAAGTGAGGGCTCACTCACAACATCCTTCAACGTAGAACTTGGGGTTGAAACTCTCTCTACTGAAGCAGGCTGCTTCTTTTTCTCGGACCATCTCACCAAGGAACCAGGTTCCTCTTGGGTTTCCTCTTCCACTTCTACCACAAGAACATCTTTATCAGATACTGGCACATTGTCTTTCACCAACCTCCTCCTTTGCTTCTTACTACTTTTTCTGCTCTTTTGAAGGGCAGAGTCGTAGGCTACCTTTGCTTGCAACCTGGTAGTAGGTCGCTTGGTGGAAGACTCAGGAGTGGACACCACCCTTCTCTTGACTATGAACGCATCAAGAGCCAGGTTGTCTAAATCCTCCTCATCGCTAGACCTCATTTCAGGAGCTTGAATATCCAGGGGCGCAACAGCAAATGCAGGAGTAAAACTGGCCTGGGAATGAGAACCCTGACCTGGGTCCTCTGGAGAGGGTTCAAGTTCCTCATGTAAGGGCCCAGTAGTTTCTGCTAGTGTAGAGCCCTCAACAGTCACTAGGGCTCCTTCTTCCCCCATACCCTGTACCTCTTTTCTCTGAGAAATTATCTCATGCAAGACACCATCAGCAGATACCACAAAGATGGTTACAACACTTTTTTCCTCAATCGGCACCACTTCTACCACGGAAGCTGCAACAACAATGGCGGAACCCTCTGCGACCTCAGGACTTTGACCTTGTTCTCCACCTTTTCGTTGAGCAGTGGGAACCTCAGAAGATAGAGGGGACATATCAACAATTTTAGGTGTTTCTGGGATGGAGAGAGACGGGGAATCTGGGTTAGGTGTGATTTCAGCGGAGAGAACAGGAGTGGTTACAGAAGACTCAGCGGACCAGGTACTCTGCTGTTTGGTGGACTCACACAAACTTAGCACTGTATCAAACTGATATAGGACCAGATCCCTATACAGTTTGGTTCATCAGTACTTTCAGAGGAAACACATAGAGAACCCGACTCTCTATACAGTCTGGTGGACGCACAGTTTCTAACAAGTAGTATCAGAGCAGGTTCTTCCTATCAGGCTAACACCTAGGAAGGATCCTCATGGCTGTTCCACCAACTTTTGAAAGGAGAGAACCAAAGAAGGAAAAGTACTTGGTACTTAAAGCTGCTAACAATGATTCGAGTGAGGAAGATAGTTACATGGCTTACTTAACCAAAAGGTTTCAGAAGATGGTCAGAAGAGATGGAGAAGTGCTAGAAAAGGACACTCTAACAGATCAAAGAACAATGATCTTTGTTACGAGTGCGGAAATGCTGGACACTTCATGAAAAATTGTCCTCTCTTGAAGCAAGAATTCTCCAAGAACTTCAAGAGAAAAAGACCAGCTGAATATGACTCAACCTTTGCTTTGATGGCACAACCAGATGATGATGAAGAAGAAGACAACAAAGAGGTAAATTTCAGGGATGTTCAGATAAATCTGAAATCCTATTCTCCAAGAAAACTCATGTCTTTAGCTAACGTATTAATCGATGCCTTTCATAGTTTTGTGGAGGATAGGGATTCTTTGACCTTAGAATTAGCAGAATCTGAACAAACTAAAGACGACTTAGTAGCTATAGTTACTGACCATAAGAGAACCACTGAAATTTTCAGAGAAGAAAAGAATGATCTTTTGGCAAAAATTACAGACCTAAGGAAATCAATAGTGAAACTCGAGATTAAGTCAAAACTTGAAAATTCTGGAAAAGGAAAGGAGAGAGCCAGTGAGGAACACATTAGGCTTGAAAATGAATTGAAAGCTGCTAGAACTAGGATATGTGGTGAACTCGAGAAAAATAGGCAGCTTCAAGTTGAATGAAGAGAGTAAAAAGTGATCTTGAGAAATCTCTCAAGTGGACCTGGTCCTCAGATGCTGTCACTGCCATGTACTTCAACAATAGTGGAAACAGGCAGGGAATCGGGTTAAGGAGAAAACTCCTTACAACCCTCACAGCAAGTACGTCACA